GCCCACCCCCCCCCCCCCTGGCGGGAGCCTGCAGCCTCCCAGGAGGTGTATGTTTGGCCAAGGAGGAAACAGACGTTCAAGTTCCTTCCCTGTTCGCATCCCTCTGCCCAGCTCCCTTGGAGGAACCTCACAAGGTGTACCTCTGGGAGATACTGTGCTGCTGGTAGCTGGGTGTCCTCGGCAGCCTTTCAGAGGCGCCAGATTCCTTTGGGCAGGGAAAGCACCGAGATTCCTCTCTGCTGACATTCTGCTCAATTCCTTGGTGGTGACATGTGGGTCATGTGCAGGCAGGCACTCGGAGCAAAGCCCAGGGCCCGGATTACATGCTTGCCATGACATCCTGGGGAAGGAGGTGCTGGCGGTGGTACAAGGAGGGAAGGACTGCTGCTCCCAGAGCAGCTGCTGAGGGTCACTGTCCCCTGACACCTCCCGTACGAGCAGCCTGGGGTGGCACGCTGGGGCTGTGACAGCACCCGGCACACGATGGCCTTCAGGAGCGTTGGTTTCACAGGCAGCTAAGCTTTTCTGTATCAAAGGGGATCACGCAAAAGCAAGCCCTCCGTGCCGTGCCACAGAGCGCGGGTGCCTCGAAGGCGATTGCACTTACCCTGTAGCAGGCGATCCCCACCCCCAGCCAGGTGAGACAGGACGCGGAGTTCTCGCAGGCGAGCAGGTAGGTCTGCTTCGCCCGCCCGTACTGCCGGGAGAGAGACAATGGTGTTTCTCTCTGCGTCAAACGCATCGCTCCGCAGACAACCCCCCCACTCAAGAATTTGCCAAACACCCCCATCCCCAGCGGGGCTCAGACACCCACCGTCCCCACCGCTGCTGGGAGGGGGCTGAGAGCCTGCCTGCTGCCCCTGACATGGTGGCTCTGTGCCAGCAGGTCCTAATGCAGTGACATCGAGGTTCCCCTCATCACTAGGGTGACGAGAAATGGCTCAGCAGTACCCTCAGACATTGCAACTGGGGCTTGGAGCCAGCACGAAGGAACAGGACAAGTCCAAGCTCCAAGGAGCTGAGCACTCCAGAAGGTTTTGCTGCGTTGTGAGACCTCGGCTATAGCTACAGGTGTAACAGTGCCTTGTACCCAGGGGCTGGAACCTCCTGCTATTTGCTTTGTGGCAAATTCCCTCCCACCACTCCCGCTGGCTCCTCACCTCTTTCTCTTCCAGGTAGATGGAGCCCAGGCGCAGGTAGACAAAGTGCATGTCTGCAGCATCCTCCACAAAGCTGATGGTTCGCTCGTAGCACTCCTTTGCCTCGCCAAAGTCTCTCTTCAGGTAGCACAGGTGCCCTTTCTGAGCCCAGACGTTTGGATTCTGCGCACACAAAACCAGGAGAGAGAGGTGGCTGGGAGACGGGAGGGAGAGAGACCTGGGAGAGGGGCACAGACCCTATAATCAGCAAAAAGGAAGAGCTGACCAGCGTTTAATTATAGCAGGGTAGGTTTTACATGCGGAATTAAAATCAAATCAGTGGGCTGCCTGCGTAATGCCAGCACTGGGAGCCTCCTCCAGCCTTTCCCATCACGGTGCCTTGGCCCGTGCAAGGCTCCCCACGGATGCAGAGTACACAGACAGCATCCGGAGAGGTCGGCTTCCTCCTGCCTTTCATTCAACCTCACCCCAAAGCCGCCTTCCCTCTCTGCTGAAGAGCAACCTTGTTCCTCCTGCAACAGAGCCTGCCTCACCAACAGAGGAAAAAAAAAACGTTGAAAGGGAAAAGAAAGGCAGACGCTGCAGAGAGAGCAGTCCTCGCTCAGAAATGCCACCTGTCTGCGCAGGAGATGACAGAAGGCGAGTAGTAAGCGGGGTAACGAGGAGGGCAGCGCTGCAGCCACAGCCTGATGTGGTTCATGAGCTGTGATTGTCCTCCCCTGCAGAAATTCCTGCAAACTAACACTGGAATTGCTCGAGTGGAAATGAAACGCGGGCTCTAGGTTCACACGAGGCAACAGCGCGGAGTCTGCCGCGGTGTTTGGCCGGTGCCCTGCCTTGGGACACCGTGCTGCAGCCCCGGAACACGCCGGGCGTTACCATGTAGTCGATCCTGGCGGCCTCGCAGAGATATTCTTCGCATTTGGAGAAATCTTCCTTCAGCAAGTGAGTCCGGGCCAGCGCCAGGTAGTACGCACAGGAGGGACCTCCCGGAAGGCTCAGCAGCTCGTGGGCAAGTGCCATGTGAACAAACTGCGGAGGAACGGCACACCAGCGCGGTTAGGAGAGCAGGCAAACCACGAGCACCCCCAGAAGGACGCAACAGGAGAGACTGACTCCCACTTATTTGACTTCTATGAACAGAAAACAGGAGATTTTTTTTTTTTTTCCCCTTCCTTTGACTATTTACCTCCATTACTTCTAGTTCTGTTTTGCTTTGAGCAACCCTTCCTGCCAGGTAAAATTAAGGCAGGCAGCATAATGTGGCAGTGAGAGAGATCCCACAGAGATGATTCTATGGTTCTATGACTGCGTGGGACAGGGACATTCCACAGGTGACACAAAAATTACTCTGACATGCCCAAGCATCCGAAACAAGAACAGAGTACTGGCATCTCGGAAGCATCACAGTAACGGATCTCCTCTCCGAACGTACAGAGGAGAGCACATCTGCACCATTTCTGACTCGGCTGTTCGCTCCGCAGCAAGCAGCGCTGAGCTGAGGCACCCCAAAAACTTTGCCTGCCTGAGACAACTGTGTCCCCGAGCAGCATTTGGGTCTGAATACTCTGCCTGGCCACGGTTCTGTGTTTCTGGACTGGAGGAGCCAGAGCTTGTTCTCTGAGCCCAAGAAAGGGGCTTGCTTGAGTTTGCCACCAGCTCTTGGGACATAACCCAGGGAGGAGACCAAACCTCCCTTCCCACTCCTCCACTCCACACTGAGCTGACCTGGACGGCATTGACTTTCATCAGGAATTCCACTGTCTTCATGAAGATTGTGCAGGGAGGTTGGCTAACTCCTGAAACAGGGGACGGTGCTGCAAGAAAATGTATCTCCATCAGTCCCAAACTGGGCTTTTTATTTCTGAAGCAAGAGCAGGGGCTGAGACCCTGGTGGGGCCAGAAGATTTCCAGCAACAAAGGAACAAAGCAAAACCCAGGAGGTGGCAGGGGAGGCTGAAGCAGAGATTAACTCAGCATTTCCTTCTGAAGGAGTTAAGTTTTTCTCAGAGATGTGAAAAGAAATGATGTTCTTCATCCCCTAATTTTCCAGTCCAAACTCCAAGGAAGAAAAGGTAGGAATCTATGATTGAAGCTTGTCAGGGTCAACTACAAACTGCCTCCCCAAACCCAGCGGGGCCCGCAGCACCCAGCACTGCCATCTCTTTGCCACCCATCGGAGAGTGGAGCTGCGGAGGAGGCAGATCACACAACACACGACCAGAGGAGATCCACAGGGTCAGATTTAAGAGCTGGCATCTCAGGAGGGAGACATCCAAGCAGCCGATGAAGGCCACTGGGTGCAGTGACATGTAGGGAGAGCCGCATTCACCTGCTGGCTGTCCATCCTGAGATGTGCTGCTCTGAAAATTGGGATGAACCTGCTTTGCTGGAGATTGCCTTGCTCAGGAGGGAGGATAAGCCTTCATGTCTTGCCTTGGCATCAGGATGGCCATGGCTCAGCGCTCTCGAGTTACTCCCCTCCCCACGAGGCCATCTCCCAGCACTGGGCTCTCCCTTCCACGCCAGGTCCTGGTCCTCTGACCTTTTGGGGCTGTCTCCGGTGCAGCAGCCTCTTCCTCAGGTGCTGCACAGGCCAGGGCAGGCTCCACCACCTCCGGCACCCTTTTGGCTGAGCCATCTGGAACAAAACCCCCAACAACCATTAGATGCAAAGAGTTTGCCATAAACCGCCCTGTTCGCAGCATGATTCTGCAGAAATGAGGAAGCAGTAAAATAGAAAAGATCCATCAGATTTTTCAGAACTGGGAAGAATTTTTTTTTGCAGGAGGCAATACCTGGGTTTGGGGTTTTGAGTACAAGATTACCGTGTGAAGCTAGAAATGGGTATAAATGAGGCAATATCCCTTCCCTCGTAATCAGAAGGGGAAAAAAAAGGGCGTATGACGCTAGGCCTGCCTGCATGGAGTGGTGATAACGTTAAAAATAAAGCTGGCCAATGTTTCCCACAGCCTGGCCAAATATCTGGGCCTGGGGACAGAAAGCCTTGGCTCAGGGTGAAGCTGGATGCAGCGAGGCTCCAAAGAAAGCCTTTGGTTGAGGGTCACCACCAAGCAGCTGCTTTGCTCTTTGAATTGGTGAGGCAATGCTTTCCTGGCTGTGTTGGGAAGTCACAGCAACAGCTTTTGTGAAAGCTACACCCAGATGACCTCAAGTACAACCATCACAGGGACAGCTCTGCCCTCCCAAAGCCTCAAAAAGTATGCTCGCTTCCTCCAGCTGCCCTGGCCACTGCCCATGCATCGGTATACCAGTGGCACTGGGCTGGGACAGAAAAATAAACGCAAGGACTGGTCCTTCTGCTAGGCTGTGGGTAAGACATCAGCTGTGCTGCTTTCAGAAAGCTTCCTCATTTAAAGCAGGACGCTTGCCGCTGTTGTCTCTCGCTGGTGTAGTTTGTGGTCAGTCTATTCTAGCTTATGGTCCACATCACAGAATCATAGAATGGTTTGGGTTGGAAGGGACCTTAAAGATCATCTAGTTCCAACCCCCCTGTCATAGGCAGAGAAATCCTCCACTACACCAGGTTGCCCAAAGCCTCATCTAACCTGGCCTTGAACACTTCCAGGGATGGGGCATTCACAACCTCTCTGGGCAACCTGGTCCAGTGCCTCACCACTCTCAATGTAAAAAATTTCTTCCTTAGATCTAATTGAAATCTGCCCTCTTTCAGTTCAAAGCCATTGCCCCTTGTCCTGTCACTACACACCCTTGTAAAAAGCCCCTCTCCAGCTTTGCTGTAGGCCCCCTTTAGGTACTGGAAGGCTGCTATAAGATCACCCCGGAGCCGTCTCTTCTCCAGGCCGAGCAGCCCCAACTCATCTTCCTTTACCCTTTGTATTTCTCCTCTTAGAAATATTTAGGAATTTCTCCTCTCCTTCCACTGTTCACCACCTCCCAGGTTGCTCCGAGCCCTCTCCTTGCTGGTGTTAGGGCATCTCCTGGTTTTGCCCAATGTTACCTGCCAAGGACTCTTCTGGGCCTGGGCTGGGAGACCTCGCACATGCAGCAGAAACAGGCTTTCTTCCTTCTTCTTCCCCAGCAGCCTCAGGGATGCTCCTCTCCTCGGCAAGCTGTGCTCGCAGTAGCTTCTTCGCCTCACGGAAAGCCATTTCTGCCTGAATATTATTATTCTGCAGCTCATAAAACAAACCTACGGGAGACAGAAAGAGCAGCATGAACAGACACCCAACCCTTAGAAAAATCCTTCCCTTAGCCCTCAGATTAAGGCAAGAAGAAGAGGAGCAGGGGCAGAAGCAAGGCTCGGCTCGACAGGAACGCCTCGAGCACGCAGGCTGGCTTGCTTTTGTACCTGAAAGCGTCCAGGCGATGATGCTGGATGGCTCCAAGCAGCAGGCATCCTCAAAAAAAACCTCTGCCTCTTCGTAGCGCTGCAGAACGACGGCCACAATCCCACAGAGCAGCAAGCTGGGGACAGGGTGGGTAGTTTAGCCTTGCAGACCCCAGGCAGCAGTGATGGGGGACACCCTTCACCCTCCCACCCACCCGCCGGGAGCATGCAGCACCTTTGGACGTGATGGGGGTCCAGAGAAAGAGCCTGCTGGAAGCACTCCTGGGCTTTGGTTGTTTCCTCGAGCAGGAGGCAGAATGCCCCGTAGTCCAGCCAGTACTGGATGTTGTGCTGGTCCTGAGCTAACCTCTGGACAAAGGAGATCATCGCTGGAGTGAGGACTGCTGCAATGATGCTCAGCACACACAAGGACCATGGCTTCCCCCTGGCCACCCCAGCCCAGTTTAGCAACAATCAAGCCCTTATCTGTCACATGTCAGGGTTTCCCTTAACTGGGATCGTGCTTGGCTCCCTCTAATCACCTAATACATGTCCTCCAGCTTCAGCTGACCTTCTCCCAGCCTCCTGTGAGAGGGCTCAGTGTCCCCAGTGCTGACCCAGCACGCCTTTTGGACCAGCTAATCCTACTTTCCCTGTCTGGAGGCTGAGGTCCTTGGTGACCTGGCCAGGCTCTATCTCACATCCTCCAGAGAGCAGCATCTCCCTAGAAAACCCCTCACACGTTCAGCCTGAGTATCCCAGTCACGTTCATCTCCTTCCTCTGAACACAACAGACAGGGATGGCTGAGCTGTCAGCAACACGGGCCCCACGCCGCCGCGACGGCGTGCTGACACACGGGAGACGGGCAGGAAAGAACAAGGGCTCCTTTACCTGCTGGTGGTAGAGAGATGCCAGCTTGTAGTCCTTGTTGACTTCAGCTTCGTGAGCAAAGAGCCAGAGCTGCTCCTCGGTCATGCGGGACGGAGGGGCAGGAGAAGCAGCTTCCTTGGAGAGTAGCTGGTAAGGAGCAAGACAGAACGTTAGCCTTGGGAAGGGGAAGAACAGCTCATGTGATCCCAGTAGAGCAGCACTCTCTCTAGATCCCTAGATATAGATCTCTAGATCCCCAGATCCCCAGTCCAGCACTGCACCAAGTACAGCCTGGTGCTGGGCGAGCTGGAAAGGCTGTCCCGGCTCCCGTTTGTGGTGGGACACATTCCTGTCACTCCCAGGTACCTCTGCCACACAGGGACAGGGCAACATCCATTATTTGCAGTCGTGACAAGTAAAAGCATCCCCTAGATCAAGACCCAGCCACCCTCGCTACAACCCAGCCACTGCAGCTTTTACTAGTGGCATCTCACACATATCCCACCGTCGGGACTTCGTCGCAGGGATAAAGATGCACCAGATCCTGGCTCTGAGCATGGGTCAGGGCCCACATGTGATAACTGCAGCAAATGAAAGCACGAGCCTGCTTCTGTCTTGAAGGCAAAAGTCCCTCTGCCTTCACTAGATACAGCATCAAGCCCTGGATCCACAGTGAAGCTGTGTCCCAAGTCACCCATCCCAGCGGGCCAGACACCAGTCAGGGTTTCTCGTTACCTGGTTCAGAGCAACATGCATCTGGTCCACGAGGTACACGTAGAGCTCACTGAGAAACGCCTGGAGCTGCTCCTGGGTCTCAAACGCCGTGGTTTTCAGGTATTTCTCCCTCACAATGTTCACTACAGCGTACTGCGGAGACATGCGGCTGTCGGACAAGGCAGGTCCCCCCCCGTGCCCCACACCACTTCCACAAGCGTAACAATACGGCGCCAGGACACACGGATTTTGCCTGAAGCTCCGACTTAGTTCTGAGGAAGAAATCCAGCCCAGCACCAATAAAAGGAAGAAAAGCAAGCGAGGGTGAATTCCTTTCCCACTTCCTGGCTTTTCCTGACCGACCACTGTCCTTTGAGGGACAACATGTGGGAAGGCTGGTGCCCCTGGCACAGAGAGGGGGTCTCTGGGCAGAGCGTGGCCGAGGCTGAGCAGGTGAGAGAGGGGAACCCGTCCTTCTGCCAGCGCCGACTGCGAGTGCGCAAGAGCAGTCAGCTCTGCCTTCCTCGGGCTGTGAGCACAGGGCAAACGGACACAATCAGCTGTGGAGTCTCCCCTCTTTAACAGGAATGGTTCTTCTGGTGCGTGACCAAAGCAGCTCGATGCCTGCTCCGTTAGAGGCAAAACCTGCCCGTCCCCATGCCCAGCGTGCCAGCCTTGAGTGGCAGGAAGGGATTCTGGAGCAACACATCACCCTCAGCTACCACCATGGAGCAGCGGGTGCTCACTGAGGAAGTGCCAGGACAAAGCAAACAGCGAAGCGAAAAGCACAAGCGACTCTTTACCTTTAGCTGTTCCTTAAAAGCAAAATATTTCCCAGAGCTATTGAGCTCGAAGTTGAGCTGACGCTTCTGCTCCTCCAGGCTTTGGTGGTCTATCGCTCCCTGGTCAGGCAGCCGCTTCCCAAAGAGCTCATGGCATTCACTTAGGATGGCAACAGCAATGCTCGTGACACGGTTGTGATAATCTTCCACGGCCTGGGAAATAAAGAAATAAAAAAAAATAAATCAAAAGAAGCTTCCATGTGCTGCGGTCATCGAAGCGGATCACTGTGCGCTCCAGACAGTCCAGCACGAACCAATTCTGCTGCAGCACTGGGGTCAGTTATTGAAATGCTGCTTCTTCCCTCACTTTGATTCCACCCTTGGCCAGAGGCCATCCGAGGACGTTCTCCTTCGACGGCTGCTCTGTACCTGCAGAAGATGAGTCGGTGCTCCCAGATCATTTTCCAAGGATGTCACACACACACACACAAGTCCTCAAAAATTCTGGGTGACCTGAGAGGGGCTGGGGCTGATTCATGTTTTTCTGGATCTGATGAAGCACATGGGCTAGTCTGAGACATGAAACCGTTGGGACTGCCCAGGGTTAACATAAGGTTTTGGCAGCTCTTTCTCCAGCATCCCGTTTCCTTCCAAACACCCCCACACTGCTGCCTTTGCTAGATCTCTCCCCTTCGTATGGGCTGTGAACATGAGTGATGAAGCCCAGGAATGACTTCCCAAGGCACACTACTGTGAAGATAACACATCCAGAAGTTTTCTTTTCTCTGTGTTTATCATAGAATCATAGACTGGTTTGGGTTGGAAGGGACCTCAAAGATCATCTAGTTCCAACCCCCCTGCCACGGGCAGGGACACCTCCCACTACACCAGGTTGCTCAAAGCCTCATCCAACCTGGCCTTGAACACTTCCAGGGATGAGGCAGCCACAGCTTCTCTGGG